AGGCAGCCGCGGCTGAGCTTCTCCTGTCCCTCACAAGTTTGAAGTAAACATAGCCCTGGCTAAACAGTAGAGAAGCTGTTCATTGAGCTGGGAAGCAGAGGCAATCTCGCCGTTGGATGTGATGCTAACGTTCACAAATTTCAATGGGGCAGTAAGGATACGAACGCAAGAGGTGAGTCCATTTTATTTCTTATTTTAACACATAATCTCAAAATATGTAATAGGGGAAATGAGGCTACTTTCCAAATTAAGAATGGGGAGGTCATTGATCTCACCCTTACTAGCATGGATGAGTCACTCACACTCATACTCATAGTTGGAAAGTATCCACCGATTCGGATCACCGGAAGACAACATTCCAGTTATCATTAGAGAGATTGCATCAAAAACCGCATAGGAACTCGAGAAAGGCTCGATAGGACAAATTTGCGGAGCACACTGTATGGAAGCTGAGATCTACTGGTAAACTCCCAGTAAACTCCGCTTACCTTCCCCGGCAAAAGGTGCCAACCTGTCTGGTGGTCGAAAGACCTAGCCCAGCTCAGAAAGACAAGCAGGCGCTTTTATAATAGGGCTGGGTACGGACTGGGAGGCTTATAAGTTTGCCTTCAACAGGTACAACAGTGAGATCAAAAAGGTCAAACGACGGTCTTGGGTTTGATTTACTGAGTCCATAGAAGATGTCAACGCAGCCTCCAGATTCCGTAGACCCCAAATCCATTGGATGCATAAAGCGGAATGACGGAAGCTGGACTCACTCTGGTCTAGAGACACTCAATCTGTTAGCCAGTACTCACTTTTCGGACTTCTTCGATGAGGTAAATGACCGATTGTTAGATCGGTTTAGTCAACATCATGGGCGGAGGATGTAAGTCTGACTGAGAGGATTGTAAGCGCTCCCATGATTTTGAGGGCTATAAACTCGTTTAAACCTTTCAAGTCACTAGGGGCACCCCGCAAGGAGGGGTTCTGTCGCCACTACTCTGGCTTTTGGTGATAAATGACATTCTAATCGAACTGGAACTGGAAAGGTCGTGGCTTACGCCGATGTGGTCATGCTGATTGCTAGGAAATTCCCGCAAACTATGTCAGATCTTATGCAGGGAGCTTGGCGTGAACCCATTAAAAACTGAGCTCGCACTCTTCACAAGGAAGCGGAAAATCCCAGACTTTTCGCTACCAATGATTGCTGGTGTTATGCTAAGCCTTTCGTTGGAAGCCAAATATCTCGGTACCATCCTAGACCAGAAACTAAGCTGGAAGAGGAGCATCGAGGAGCGAGCGAAGAAGGGCTTAATTGCACTTTATTCCAACAAAAACTCCATAGGAAAAAGCTGGGGACTCAAGCCTTACATAATCAAATGATTATATGAGTCAGTCGTCCGACCAATTCTAACCTATGGGGGCTTGTTTGGTGGTACTCCTTAGGAAAAACCACCTTCAGTAAAAGCAATGATAAAGTCTAAAGAGTTGCATCGCTACAAATTACATGCGCGTTTAGGAGCACACCCCAATCCGCACTAGACACCCTACTCAATTTAAAACCGTTAGGTTTATTTGTAGAGGAACAAGCTGCTAGGTGTGCCCTGCGACTCAATGAACTGGAATAATGGCGGACCGGTGACTATATATGTCGATAGTCAAGAGGCCCTGAAGGCTCTAAATTAGCCAGACGCGGATCTGAGTCAGTGGATCTAGAGATTGAGAGCTCAGTGAAGCCACCTTTATTTCACTTCTTCCAAGTACTGCATAAGCATTATCTTGGGAAACTTCTACAAAAAGATTTGGTCGATGGACTCCGAAAGGAGATCAAGGTCATTCATATACATGACGAAGCTGGACTTGGAGCTTGTAGTGGGTTTAATTACTGGACATTGCAACATAAAGGCCTTGACATCCAAATGGGGGGGGGGGGGGTGACGACACTGAATACTGCAGGCTTTGACAGGAGGAGGAAACTGAGACGGTGAAGCATTTACTCTACCACTGCCCAAATCTTATAGGAGTGAGACAGAGGCTAAGGACGACACGCTGATACACCGTGGATGCAAACCTCTAACTTCTCTACTCTTTATACAGATTCTCGCTTCTTCACCATATTCCCTTTATTCTATTTTCCTATCTTCTTAAATTAGGATGAACACATTGGACCAACCGGGCAACCCTTAACCTAACCTATTTCAATGGTTCCCTGGCGTTAAAAATCCTAATATTGTGTTTTTTATTTGTCTTAAATGACAAATTGACAAAATGGTATATTAATCAAAATTTATTTTTTCTTCACAATTTCAGTTTATAGCGCCATAAAGATGTTTCGGCTCTAGTTTCACAGTTGTTTGGCCAGAGTTTTTTTGTTTGGTGGCTGTCTTTGACGAGACTTCTGTTTTTGTTGCACAATAAAATAAATTAAACGAGCCACACCAAACACAATAAAACAAAACAATGCTTTTGGCATTATCTTGAAAGAAATCAGTTACACTTTTTACGGAAGAATGCCTGTTACACACAACAAAATCAGGACTAATCTCACCTTTTATAGGGACAAAACCAAAGCTGATTTTCCCTCTTTTCTTATGTTTTCCCGGATTTTTCCTATTTATTTTTTATGCTTTAAGCATAAGCTCCACACCAGAGTTTTATTTTCTTATCTAAGGCAATAGTTTTTATTTTTATTGTAATTTTGAGTCTAACTTATATAAATTTGAAAACTCTGTCGCATTATATTTTAGCTAACAATATCTAGAATTAAAAAATGTCAAAAATCAAACATTTTCATACATTAAATTGTTAAAACTTAAGAAACAAATATAAAAATATGAATTTTTAGAGTGTGCAAGAGTATTATTAGAGTAATATTAGAAACAAGGAGTCGTTAAATAATAACACCAACTCCACCAAAGAATTTTTTGAAAGTGCTATGATCGACACAATGGGACAAAGTCTAATTCACAGAATTAATATTCTGTAATAATCATGTGCGATTTAACGAAATATTTAGTGATGGTACTAATGTCAAGAAAGTCTGCTATGAACATAGCGAAAACCAACATGAAATATTTTATTTTGATATATAGGCCCAATGAATACTGTAAAGGCGGATATGTACTGAATATATGAACCAGACATCCATAGATCTATGCCAACTAACGAAAATTGAAAAATTAAATTATACTCCACACCATTATGAGACACTAAAAATCTCCGTGGGAAATCCGATTCAGCAAAAATTACAATAAATGATTTTGTATTAGTCACAATTTAAAGTAGGCACAAATTTGATCCGTTTTATAAAGGACCATATAAAGTTGTTTGTATTGACAATAACAGTAATTTAAGACGGAAATAGAAACCCCTTTAAGGTGAATAGGCGCCGAACAGAAATGTATATTTAGCATTTATTGTTTATTGTTGCAAATTGACTAAAATTTCTAAATAGGTTTTTGTACAATTTTTAATACAATGTTAGTATAAACAAGTATAAAAGCTGTAAATTCGGCCATGCCGAACTTTGAATACCCTCTAGAATATGGAACGAGTTTGGCAATTTTCAAAAACATAAGATCCGTTAAAAATTCTTTTCAAATCTTACAACTACCGAGTGTAGCCGTTATATTAGGGTCTATACGACGACATGCACCTGCATAGGTAACTTTTGGCATAAGCCATTACAATATTCAAATGCTAAACTTGAAAAAAAAAAAATCGGGGAATAATATAGCTAAAATCACAAAGTACCGAATATAAGAAGGTACCGTTATGTTTGGGATATACGAAGACATGAACCAGCACAGGCTGTCATAGGCTGTAGTATCCATTACAAACTTCAAATACCAAATTTAAATAATTTCCGATGAATAATGTCGCTAAAATCATTAAAATGCACAGACAATTGTCTGTCTTAGGCTGTAGTATCCATTTTGAACTTCAACCAAATTTGAAACAATCCCGATGAATATTGTCGCTAAAATCATCAGAATACCAAATATCGGGAGGTACCGTATATACCAAAACGTAGACCTACATGGCCCATTTTCAATACCAAAAGTCCTGCAGACATAATATACATTTGAGTAAAACTTTATCAATCTACTTCGATTCGTTCGGAAGCTAGAGTGATTTCCACAGACAGACATACGAAAGGACATCGCTAAATCGACATATAATTTTATGCTGATCAAGAATATATATATACTTTGTGGGGTCTAATAAAATGTATATTTCGAGATGTTACAAAAGGAATGACAAACTTAATATACCCTCCACTCACCAAAACTTTTTGGATGGTATAAATATATTTGCAAATATTTATACACAATTATCCGATATAGTCTCTGTTCCAGAGCTGCTAGTTTTTACCACAATAACCGATTCTTCCTTTACGATATCGGACAAAATGGCAAAACTAGTAGATTCCTGCAGTGTTTGAAACAGAGCAATAGTTTACTACTATTTGGAATAATTATGTTTGATGATTATGATGCTTTAGGGAATCAAATATAAAATATATAGAAATGATTGTTTGTAACTAAAAATATATAATGAAATTAATATCATAAGTGTGTGTAAAAATTACAATTAATAGAACTATTTAAATTAATTAATAATGTTTAGTTTAATAAAATTAAATAAAAATAAAACTAACAATAACCAATGTCAATGACTTTTCTTCTTTAAAAGGAAAGATGTATTGTGTTTAACTAGCGTAAGACAAAATACCTTCCATTATTTAGTTATCACTCCCACAGTATATAACATTATATTCTTGCTTAGGCACACATTGTCATATATTTTGTATGTATCATTATTTAGTGGTTATATCTTCAGTACGTAACCTAATACTCACGCTTTGTTGAGTTTCGCTAGTAAGCATGATTTGTAATTTATATTAATAAATTTATATTTAAGTTAATCATTTGATCTCAGTTAATAGCCAGTATACAAACCTTATGTGCCAATTCTCCTTACTTCTAAAGAACGTTAGAAAAAAAACGAAAGGTGAATCCAAATATATGCCATTTAGTCATTTTACAATATGTATTTACATTTTAATTTCGACAACCTTAATTAGCTGCAGGAAGCGAATTAATGAGAAATAGTAAATTTAACGTTTTTATAAACTATTATAATCGTCCATAACTAACTCCGTGTGATGACTGTCTTTCATGACATTTAATTCATCATCAAGAGCACTTCTTCTGTCGCACATTACGGTCGATAAGGCAGTATTACAGTTCTCAAGTAGTTTTTCTGTTTCCGAATTTAAATGTTTTGGTCTGAAATATATGCTAGGAATGGTCTTAGTTTTTATGTATGATTTCAAATATAAGGTTGATGTTTCCCACATTTCGTAATCTTTAACACGACAAATCCTTTCCTCCAAACTTTTTATTTCAATCTGTTTGCACTTTCTGTAGTGGAACAGTGACTGCCTTTCCTTCTTAAGAGACTCACGTTCGTGTACTTCTTGCTCTTCAAGTTTCTTTTCTATTTGTGCTTTCCTTTCTTCCTTTTGTTTTAAACGTGATTCCTCTTGACAAAATTTATTTAATGTTCCTAGCAATGCTCCAAACATTCTGCGATTTCGGGCTATTGACTCAGAATCAGAACATTGCGCTTTAAGAATTTCTTGACGTGTAGGTAGTTCTCGAATAACTCTTGAGTTTAAATGTGGCCTAATTTTTCTTGTTTGCATTAACGGAGGCGAAGATAATCTATTAAACACTGACTTGGAGTCATTGGATCGTTTACTCATGCTTAATACACACTTTTTGAGAATGCCTACGCCATTTCTATTGTTTTCGGGCCTGAAAAAGACAAATAAAAAGGAGTAATTAACAAACAGTTATGAATAAATATTGTAATGCAGATCAAGGCAGAGAGTGTCACATTTATTTTGTGATTGAAATAAAATTCTTTGTCTTTAAGCCAACCCGCGAAGGGCATCTCTGGCTACGTTGGTGAACCTATAAAAATTATTGCCGAAAAAGATATCATAAAATTGGATATTAGATCTCATTTGGTCTCAAATTGTGTGTGTGACGAGTCAGAGGTGGTAGAACTATATGAGAGCTATACCTTACGGGTGTGCCCAAAAAATATTTTGTGGCATGATAAACTAATAGAAAATAATTTACCCACAACAAAAGGTTGTGGTCATAAAAGAAAACTTAAGTTGGGCTGTCCTTTTATGCGCTCAATCGTGATGGGGAAAGAACTATACAGCTTGCAGCATGATTTCTAATCGTTACCTTGTAATGAATAATCGATCGCATCAGTAATCGACTAAGTTAGTACACGCGAGTGCAGACGCAAAAGATAAACAATGACGGGCAGGTATATAGTAAAAACTAAAACTAATTTTGTAATATCTTGGTGAAAAAAGTTAACAAAAAAGGTATTGCAATAAAAAATAACAATATAGATTTAATTCCATTTCAGGTTTTACTTTTAATGAAGATGCTGCAATTTTCATAAAAATATGACACTGAATAAAAATTGAAGCTAGACTGGGCATTTTTCATTACACCTAAAAACCCATTGACATCATATACCAAGAGGTGCATTTTAATGTCAAAAAGATGGAAGATACACCGTATCGACACTTGTACCGGTGAATGACTTGAATTTTCGGATGTATATTTTTTAACGGCCCAATTACGGTTGTCGTTTCTATAGTCGTCGTCGACTTTATGTGCAAGTCGCTCTCACCATCGCTTCGATTCAAAAATGGTATTACGGTAAGGCATTGAAGCGACATCGACAGTTTAAAATAAAAGTTGGCAACAATTAAAAAAGCGTTGGCAACACTCCTTTGTAATTGACAAAATAAGATAAAAATTTGTTTGTATTTTGAATTCTAATTTCGTCTCTTTCGGAAAAATAAAAAATATAGTGAAAAAATGGATATTATAAATGCGTTACATATCTTAAGTTCAAGTGAGGATTAAGTGGAAAATGTATTAGTAGTGCAGCGGCGAGTGCAGCAAACAAACATATTTGCATTGCCTGACTCTTGATTGTGTTGTTCCAAAAGTTTATACTGCTCTTTCAAGAGTTCAATAGTTTTTTCTTTCCTTGATGACTTTTTATCATCGAGAAGCTTGGATAGAAGTTACATCAGACTCGTCATCAGCATTGTCCACTGGCTCATTTTCCAGATCAATATCGTCTGTTAAAATTATGTTTTCCGTACTTTTTACTCCAAGTGCACGACCTGGTAGATTCAGTTACTTTTGAAACTGCATTACATTCGTGAAGGACACTTCCCAAAGCGACAAAGTCATTTGCTTAAAAATACCACCTCCAGTGCTGCTGGCTTCACACTTATTGTGCACAATTGTTTTTTAGTTTTAAATTTTAAATCTTTCCAAACCTAGAAGAACTTTAGAAAACTAACTAATAAAAACATACAAAAATAATTTTAATTTTAACATACTTTTTGCCAGTCTCTAATCGGTGACCCATTTACATTTAATTTTGAGGCAATGGATTCCAACCTGATTTAAAATTAGCTGGAAAATGACCTTTACTTACCCTTTTGCCAAAAATGTTTTTTTTTTTTTTTTCAATTCGGAAACCAACATTTCGAATTGTTTTGCTGTTCTTATTTTCATGGTCAAATATCAAATACAAAAAAGTTACAATATCAACGTCGACTAAAAAATACAATGTCGTCACAATATTTTACGGTGACAGATTTTCTTAAAAATCGACTTCACGTCAATCATTTGTCGCTATTGACAAAAGCGACAACCCTATTATCATTATTATTGCCTCGACTTCATTTTGCGACGCCGACGACAACCATAATAGGGCCGATTATTTTGGAGTTCTTAAAACTATATTTGCAGATGTGGCAAATATAGGATTGAGGTCCTGATCGGCCTTAGATTGGCAAAAGTTTGACATCTTTAAAAGAGCGAAATATTTACATAAATGCTTCGCCCAAGTCTCGCAAATGATCCACAATCGATAAATATGCCACAAATTTCCCACCCCTACCGACCGAGGGGGAGACCATCCCCATACGTAGGGATCGCGTACACATTATGATCCGCACCATGATGGGTTACCAGTAAATAATTAAAATCAACACTGACAGGGTCAACCATCGCATAGTTTGAGCGATGTAAGTCAGTATATAAAAATTGATATCTACTAGTTCTAAAAGGAACATTTATTCAAATAGACGAAATAAGAAAATCAGATGGTACAGTACCGCTTAAAATTTTTAACATCATTATACAATTAAACATAATGCGTCTACTTTTTAATGAAGGTAATCGAATTAATTTTAACCTGCTAGTATAAGAGGGCATAACAAAACAAATTTAAACCTCTTAAAGCAAAAAGCAAGAATTGCTTCTGTACGGACTCGATTTTATCAAAATAAAAGGCAATCCTGTTGTGTCAAAAAATTGTGGTGCTCCGTGCTTTTGAAAAAATTATTAGTTATATGTTTTATTAAATTAATTAATCTGGTAAAAAAGTGTATTAAAGTGTTCAATAGTGATTTTGTAACTCAAAGTGATAATTGGTGTAGTGTTTTAAAATCTTGTTTTGTCTTTTAAAGTAATATCAATTTTCAAATTTTGTAGTTGTACATTCTCCTTTTATCCTCTTTCTTTTGTTACATTAGCTAATTAGTTGTTGTAACATATCGTCTTGTTTTGTTTGTCATCTCATAAGAGTTGCCAACATTTAAAAAAGAATAAAATAAACAAATAAAAAAATTCCAGCTACAGATCTAATCTTGAAAAATATAGTTGTAACTTGTGTATTAAAAAAAGAAATAATTATAATTAAAATAATAATAATTAAAATAAAAAAATGTCGTGCCCTTTTGAATTGTGTAATATTGTTGCAGAGGATGAATTGTGTGTTACCTGTTGGTTTTGTCTTAATCAATGGCATGCAAAATGTGCTAGGATTAATGCAAAAGTTGTAGACACAATTAGAAATAATGTTGGTGTTGTGTGCAATGTAGGAAACTATCTGCAGACTTTTATAATTTTGTAAAGGATTTGCAGTCGGAATTGACATCGATGAAAAAAGATTTTTCCTCCCTATCACTCCGATTCGAGAATTTCTCTACATTGTTTGAGAAATACCAAGAATTAGATGAGTTTGTGTCGTCACCGTCAGTTTCTGGCCAGAAACGCAAATGGGCTGCGAAAAAGGCACCAACTAAGGGAATGCCTAGTCGCAAAGCAATAGTTTCTGTGGAGAACACTGATCCACAACCGGTTTCAGTTAATATCACTGAAACAACTGAGACTGGACGTGAACAGTCGTATGCCAGTGTTGTTACACACCCAGTTCCGGTAGATAACAGCGGTATAGGTAAAGGGGTAAATAATCCTGAAGTTATGAGTATTGATAGTGAGGTTTCTAAGAAAACCTCACAATCTACTCGTAACATACAGGAATTATCACTTCCTTCACTTATCACTAGTGATCGTCCCGAGACTGCTACTGGCAAAACTCAACCTGTCCAAAGATCATTATCTATGGCTCCCGCCATGAAAATGATATTTGCAACAAGGTTTGCGCCAGAAACAACGGCCGATGACATAATCTATTATATAAAATCAAAAATTGAAGGAGATTACCTTTTGAGATGTTATAAGCTCCGATCTGCATTTTCTGAAAGTAGATCTTCTTTCAAAATCGTTGTGCCTGAAAATATTTTTGTACAGTTGATTTTAAAAGAATTTTGGCCTGCTAGGGCATTTATTAAAGAATTTGTGGAGAGATCCGATAATTTAGCTCATTTGCCTCTTAGACCAGATTCGGTGCCAAAAAACTAAATGACTCATTTTCTATTTGCTATCATAATGTAAGGGGGCTTAATACAAAATTAACCAGTTTATATACTGATAGCATTGGTTTCAATTATAATGTATTGGTTTTCTCCGAAACTTGGTTAAAAACATCTATATTAAATAGTGAAATTTTATGTTCAAAATATCAAATATTTAGAAAAGATCGTGTTTGTAAAAAAGGTGGTGGCGTCCTTATTGCAGTTGATACCAAATATACCACTAATTTAATTGATCTAAATGATTTTCTTGATATAGAATTTGTTGGTGTTTCCATTGAATTGGGCATATCTAAATTGTTTGTAACTTGCTCTTATATTCCCCCTTCATCTTCATTTGACATTTATAATCAGCATTTATCAGCAATAAATTTAATCACTGAAAAAAGGAAAGATTCCGATCACATTCTTATCCTTGGTGATTTTAATATGCCCTCCATTAGGTGGCTTCCAATGCCAGATTCTGAAGCTTTGATTCCTTTGCCATCCGAAATGAACAGTTTGTGTGACTTAAATCTTTATCAAATAAACAGTGTGAAAATTCCCTCTTGATTTGGCGTTTGTAACACAGCATTTTGATATATTCAGAATTCTTCCAATATGCACTCCTGAAGATATATACCATCCAACTTTATATATCTCCATGACTCACAGTTATGTAATTTTTTTTTTTTTTTGTTTAATTGTTTAATTTATTGAATCTTTCATATATTTAATGAAAATAACAATAAGGTTTCATATCTTATATACTAATATTTTTATAGGGAGGTTGTCAATACAATCACCCCATATTTTGTTCATGCTTTAATTATTATTGTTTTTTTTTTTTATAATATAGATGTGTGTTATTTTGTGGGCTTGTGGATACAGTTATATCCGTGAATTGATTGGATAGGTAGTTAAGATTAGTTTAGATACAGATATATCTAAGTGAATCGTGGACTACAGAAATAGTCTTACGGATATAATGTTGCTTTGTTTAGA